GTGTTAGGTAGTAGTCAGGTCTGTTCTAGTAATAAAATAAATATGAATTTAAAAAAAATAGGAATTTACTGAGAATTTTTAGATTTCTGTTTCATTTTTTTCTACACTGTATTTCTATACCATATGCATTTAACAGCAGTCTTGTATTCAATCAAGACTGATTCAGAGTGGCAATATAGAATTTTAAAATTCCCTCAAGAAGTAAACCCTTACCTGGTTAAGCTTTGAGTTATATGGTGTTAATAGTGATCTGTTTTTATTGAAAGACTTGTTAAGAAAAGCCCTTTATGGCCAGTGTCACTCAGTGGTTCGAGTGTCAGCCCACGCACCAAATTCAATCCAGATTCAGTCCCCAGCCCCACACAGGGAGAGTGCAGGAGGCAACCAATTGATGTATCTCTCTCACGTTGATCTTTCTTCCTTTCTTCTTTCTTTCTTTCTTTCTTTCTTTCTTTCTTTCTTTCTTTCTTTCTTTCTTTCTTTCTTTCTTTCTCTCTCTCTCTCTCTCTCTCTCTCCCTTTTCCTCTCTCTTTCTTTCTTTCCCTCCCTTTCTTCCACTCTCTTTAGAAAATCGAAAAAATACCCTTGAGTGAGGATTAATCCCCCCCAAAAAACAGAAAGAAAATCCCTTTAGCACTGACTTTCTCAAATTTGCCATAATATAATGATCTTTTTGAAAGGAAAAGTATAGAATGTATCATCATGTTACTTAGATGTATAGACATGAAACTAGATATAAAACCTTTGTGTTCTGGCTCATTTACAAGTATAAACCAAGTCTGCAAATTAAATACAAAGTCAACTACAAAACCAGCAAAATTCAAATTAATACAATTATTAAGTATGACAGATGATGTTTAGATTTCACAGTAGAAAAAAATAGCCTTAGGTGTGATTCCATTTGAAATCTGTTTCTGTATTTTAACTTAAGTGATACTAAAAGCTGCAAGTGCCCATTCTCATAAGTTATGTTGTGTAAGGTGGCATCATGACTTCAAAGCTTTGTAAGTTTAGGATAATCAGACCACATACCTAAGTAAAACACTTGCCAGCAAGCATTCCTCAAATACCAGTTTTAATGAGCTGTCTGCTGTGTTGAAGATGAGGATAACATGGTGACATTACTGAAATCTTTATTAAATGGTTCTCTAAACCAATTAATACTAGAGTGAGAATGGAAAAATATTTCATACTTAAAAACCACATTTACTGCTAATGAACTTTTGCAAATTGTGCTACAGAGATAGGACCCATGTAATGCGTGTAGCATGTATATGGTATTGGCTGTTAACTGTTGGCTTTTGAATATACCACGCCTGTATTGCCATATGCCTTGATTTTTCACTCTTTCGATTATAATTACTATGAAACCTTTGCTTGTATGGTGTGCTGTGAGGATATTTGACCTGAAGGAGATCTTAACACAACTGAAGAAGTAGCAGGGAAAGCCTACTAGTGGTACTTGTTTAGGTGGTAGTTATTCATGATCCAGAATGTTTGTCATTCATTTTACATTACCCATTAAATTAAATATTTTTAAAAATTGTACACAATTCTTAGGCTTTTTCTCCTAACATATTTGTGACCTCCTGTTTAGGAAACACTGCTTTGGCAAATCTTTTTTGATCACTGTCTAGGAACCCAGGATTCAAAGATGAGGAAAACAACTACAAAAAACTTGGCCATTCTTATTTTTTATCATCACCCAAGGATATATTTCTTGATTTTTTTATTTTTATTTTTTAAGAAGAGAATGGAGGAAGGGACTGGGGGGTGGGGAGGGGGGAAGACATCAATGTGAGAAACATTGATGGGCTGCTTCCTGCATGCACCCCAATCAGGAATTAAACCTGAAACCCAGGTATGTGCCCTGACCAGGAATCGAACTTGCAACGTTTTGGTGCACAGGACTGTGCTCTAACCAGCTGAGCCACCTGGCCAGGGCAATGTGGCCATTCTTTTTTTTTTTTTTTTTTATCCTCGCCCGAGGACATTTTTTGTTCAGGTAGAGTGGGAGGGAGAGAGGAAGAGAGAGAAAGAGAGAAACATCGACGTGAAAGGGACACATCGAGTGGCTGCCACCCGCACGACCAACCAGGGCCGGGGACAAACTGCAACCGAGGTATATGCCCCTAGCGGGAACCAAACCCGGGTCTCTCTGGACCGCAGGCCGATGCTCTAACCGCTGAGCCAAACCGGCCAGGGCCAATGTGGCCATTCTTAATATAATGAGAGACACTTTAATAACAAGCTATAAATAGTTTTATTGGTGCTGTTCTAAGGGTATGTTTGCTAAGAGGGCTATTGAAATTATTGAAAGGAGCTGCCCCCTTACGGGTAGGGGAGGGGTTTAGAGCACATTATGGAAAAGATCTTGTTTGAACAGGGTCTTAAAGTTCAGAAGGTGGGTTTAAACTAGTCAGAGAAATAGAATGTGTAAAAACCAAGGTCATGAAAGACATGATTATCATAACGTGAGACATGTGTGGCCCTAGATAGCATTTGTATTGTGAGTGGTAAAGTGGAACCCAAAAGTAAAAGTTTTAATTGGTAGACAAAGTGTCTAACTGTTACTTCATATACTCTAAGGGAGCTGTGAAGATCTTAGAACTGGGAGAGTGTTCATGGCAGAATTTTTATATATAGCAATTACCACATTATATTGTAATGTTCTCCTTCACTAGTCTTTGGAGTTCTTCAAGGCTGTGGCCATGAGTCATTAATCTTTGTATACTAAGCTTTTGGTAGAGTAACTGATAAAAAAAACCTAATACTTAGAAAACCTTGGTCGAATGGCTACTTAAGAGGAAAGAGGATTGATTCAGCAAGAATGATGACAGTCTCCTATGGTGGTGGATTTAATCTTATGACTGACAGACCCCTTTGTAGTTCTGTTGAAAGCTATAAACCTTCTCCTTGAAAATGCAAATGCACACAACATTTGGCCTACAGTTCTGTGGGATTCATGTCCCTCTGAAGCCAGTCCATGGCTTCCTGGTTCAGAATCCCTCCTTAGGAAATTATACCCAAGGAACCTGTAATCACCACCAAACCTCACCACAGGTAATTACTGTATTTTAACAGCCTTTAAGTGTCAGATTATGATAGTGTCTCTTTCTTATACTTTTCTTGAGTTCTCTTCATTTTTTTTTTTTTTTTATCCTCACCCGAGGACATTTTTCGATATTTTGTTCAGATTGGGGGGGGGGGGGGGGATCCCGAACCTGGGTCTCTCAGGACCACAGGCTGATGCTCTAACCGCTGAGCCAAACTGGCCAGGGCATCTCTTCATTTTTGGGAAGAGATCATTGAAGTAGCTGAACTGTCTATGAAGAAAGAACAAAATTTTAAATAATGATTAAGGTAAAATCTTTCTGATCTAGAAAGATAATAGACAAGTATGCTAATTAAGCCAGCAACCACGAAGCAGCTGCTTGAGGAGATCCTGACATTCCTGAATTTGGGTTTAATAAGTGAGTTGGGGGTCTGTCTCCAAGACCACCGTGAGGCTCAATGATTTGCTAGAAGGACTCATAGGACTAAGAAAAGGTGTTATACTAATGGTTATGGTTTATTACAGTGGAAAGATACATATTAAAATCATCAAAAGGAAAAGGCACATGGGGCAACATCCAGGAGAAACTAGGTACAAGCTTCCGGGTGTCATCTCCCAGTGCAGTAGCAAAGTACACAGCATAACTCAGCAATGATGTGATAGCCCTTGCCAACCAGGGAAGCTCACCAGAGCCTCCATACACATACAAATCCAAGGTTTTTATTGGGGCCCATTCACAGAGGCTTGCAGCATTCTTATCAGGGAGAATATTTCAAGGGTTCAGAGCTCATTTGCTAAGAACTGGCCAAGGGCCAGTCCTGAATGAAGACAGCCTTTCTTGGGAATTCCTGCTGAGTTAACCCTTTCATATACAGCAAGTTAGCTGTTCAGAGACTTAGCTTCCTTCTGGCCTACCTGTCTGCCTAGCCACTCTTTCTAGATACAGTAGATTTCCTTGGTCTCATCATAGATGGCCATTCCGTATACCTGGACTCTTCCTTTTTTCTTGCCACCAATTAATTGGGAAGTTTGATTGGACTTAAGGAAGTAAATGTGCTTTGCAATTTCATGAGATCATAGTGAAGTGTTAGTGCCTATTCTGTCGTTCATTCGAAGAGTATTTTTTTAATGCTGCCATATACAAGACTCAATGCTAGATGTGGATTTACAGAAATGACTAATATGAGTCCTTGCTCTCAGGGAGCTTAGAGTTTCATAGGGGAGAGAAAAACAGAAGTAGCAATTCTGATAAGCAGCATTTGCTTTGGGGAACAGTTAACCATTGGAGAGCATGGTGGAAGGTATGTTTATGTGTGTATGGAAAGGTATTGGTGATAATTAGGGGAAGACTCGCCTAAAGGGGTCACTCCTTGAGTTGAGTCATAAAGATCAAACAGATACTAGTGGGCATGGAGCTGGTGTTTCTCCGGTCATTTCTGTAGTTAGGTTGCCTGTGTTGTTAGAGCATATGTATTGTTACTTGTCCAGTCTCCTTGGCTTACTGAAAAAGCACCATAATCCTGGCTAGAAGATAGATGTCTTTCTCACGGGTTGTACAAGAGAAACGAGTGGTGCAATACAAATCTGTTTCCATCACTCTATTACCATATGACATTTTCAATCTGCAGTGGAGGGTTGTAGTATTTTCGCACATTGCTCCCCAATGGGCACATGCTTGCCTTACCTTGATGAAATTGCACATAACAGTTCCTCTATACTTGGAAGCAAAAAGAGTTTTAGAAAAAAATCTTCGTTCAAATTTTATCATATTCAGCTCCTACATATATGAGCTTCTCAACTCTTCTAAGAGTAACAAAGAATTGTTTTTTGAATAGTGCAAAGAAATTACTATAATAGGATCAGGACTGTCTTATAGCAAATACAGGATAATTTCAGTGTTAACCTTGAGAATTTATTCTAATAACATCTTGTTCTCTTTTTCTAGCATTACAGTGTTTCTGCCACCTTTGCACAAAAGACAATTTTACTTGTGTCACAGATGGGCTTTGCTTTGTCTCTGTCACAGAGACCACAGATAAAATTATACACAATAGCATGTGTATAGCTGAAATCGACCTAATTCCTCGAGACAGGCCATTTGTATGTGCACCATCTTCAAAAACTGGGTCTGTTACTACAACATACTGCTGCAATCAGGACCACTGCAATAAAATAGAACCCCCAACTGGTGGTAAGTTATTGTGTAAGATGGTGGTTTTTTGCTACTACAAAGAAAAGCCTTAAACTATGATTTTAGAACTGGAAGGGATCTTAGAAATTGTCTACCCCAGCTTGTACAGTTTCAAGGCAAAAAGAAACATGTCCTTAGTGCAGAGTTATAAGAGTAGCCAAAATCCTGACTCCTGGGTGTGTGTCCAGAATTTGATTCCATAATAGACTTTCTCTATAGTCTGCTGTACCTGAATTAGTAGCCTCTTAAAAACGAATTCTGACAAAGCCCACTGCAGCAGTATGTCCTCAGAATGTCATACTTTATCTGCAAAGTGAATTTCTTCTTTCTTGTTTAATGCTCTAGACGTTTTTTTGTTTGTTTCTTTTTGTTTTAAAATAGTTTTTATTGATTTTCAGAGAGAGAGAGAGGAAGGGAGAGGGAGAGAAACATCTGTTGGCTGCCTCCTGCATGCCCCCTACAGGGGATCGAGCCTACATCCCAGGCATGTGTCCTGATCCGGAATCAAACCGGCAGCCTCTTAGTTTTTATGGGTCGATGCTCAACCACTGAGCCATACCAGCTGGCCAGGCTGCTCTGGCATTTTAAAGCATCAGTAGTGGGTTGGAATTGAAAGCAGCACTAAACAGTCCAGATGCCTTCATTTTGTAATTTCACTTTACCTTGTGGTCTTTATGTTTAGATTATTATATATGATGATATCTAGGTTTTCAGTCCTTCACCGAAGTTTACATTTTAAAATGTCCTGGCAAAGCCAGGACTTTCAAGGATAAACTCTTGGCATTAGATTAATTTTAAGGTTCTGGCTTAAGATGTCAGTCTGAGCACATTATTTAACTCTTTTGTCACTTTTCTTCAAATTCCAAATTCCTGCTGTAATAATCAAAGGAATATAAAAACAGGGGGACCTATGTGAATGCTAGCAGAATTAATGGAAGAATGCTACCCACACTTGTGAAGAACTTCGCAGTTTATAGTGCAGATGACCTCAGATTAGTGAAAAATTAACCATATGAAAAGAAGTGAAATGACCTCTTAGAAAATCCCACCAATACCATAAGCTGAGGGGCTTGGGTTAGGTGTTAGGGTCAAACTCAGTTCTCCTTTAGGAAGCACCTGGTTTCATTGCTCAGAGGGGCAGAACGCAGTGCTAATTTTCCACTCAGAGTTGGTCCAGGCATCATGCTAATTAAAGATGGAAGTACTGCTGGAGCTCAGAGGAAAGGGGCCAGTCCTACCAGTTGGAGAAGGGAGGCAGTCCTGCACCTGTGTGTGTGATAACAGCAAAGTACAACTGAGTCTGGAAGCTCCCTATGGCCAGGCTCTGCCAGACTCTAACTTTTCTAGCTTTTTTTGTAAGCATCTCCAATTCTGATATGACAACAATGATAGTTCCAGAATTTCCCATTTCCATTGTTTGGACATGAAATATTTAATTGGAAATTCACAAAACCTTGTGAAGGAGTCACTTCATTTCTAATGCTAAAAATACATAAATTCCTCATTCTCAGGTCCCTGATACGCAAACAACAAAAAATATTACCAAATGAAGTGCTTCAGGGTTTAAAAGAAGTGAACTGAACTGGATAAATCAGAGTAGATGTATCACCCTTTGAAATAGACTCACCACATGATAGGGAAGAACTTTCAGATAGACCAACGTCTGTTTTCAGCTGTTTACTATAAAATGAGGACCTTTCACAGTTGTTAACGATTGCTTTCAGATGAAAAGCTTGATTGATGAATTATTTTTTGAAAGCAATATTGAAGGTGAACAGCAGACTGGATACTGTGACTTAAAATTTTTTTTCTTTATTGATTTTAGAGAGAGAGGAAGGGAGAAGGAGAGAGAGACCGAAACATTGATGAAAGAGAACATTGATTGGCCGCCTCCTGCATGTCCCCCACTGGGGATTTGACCCACAACCTGGGCATGTGCCCAGACCTGGAATAGAACTGGCAACCTTTTGGTGCATGGGTCGATGCTCAACCACTGAGCCACACCGGCTGGGTGATACTGTGATTTTATAGTCTCAAGTGTGAGATAAACTTAAGGCAAGGCAAGCTTGTGAAACTGTTCTACAATTCAGAGAAAAGGGCAGTTGGTGAGCAAATTCAAGAGATACAGAAGACAGATCTAGGTGAGCCAATATGCTTAGTGTAAAAATTCCAGAAAAAGGCATTAAAAGCAGACAGAAGATATAAGAATGCTATGCAAAATTAATGAAAAAATGCTTACCCAATACATATAATAGAAGACATACCTATTTCACGAATGAAGAAAAAAAAAAAATGCATTCAGCACAAGTGAGCACTAACTAATTCACTATAAAAGGGAAAAAAGTTTAGGTTTTCTGCTTTTTTTAAATACCAGAGAGCAGTAGAACATCATTATAGTGATTGTTACTCAAAATTCTTTAGATAAGCCAAGATTTTTTCATATATAAAGGCAACAGGCATTTTTAGATAATTAAGTATTCAGTGTATAAGGGCATATATACTCTCTTCCTAAAAGAAATTACTAGAATTAAAATTCTGTGTCATAAGAAATCAATTCAAATAAGGCTGTGAGGAAGATGTGCTGGTAAAGAAATGGTGGTATGCAGTAAACCAGCAACGCTCAGGATGAATGCCACAATAATTATCATTAATATCTTTCAGAAACAATGTAAAACGGTCATTATTAAAAGAGATTATGAGAAAATATATGCTCTTGAATTGAAAGCCCAACTAATTAAAATAGACTGAAGTATACACATGAAAATTTTATTATAAAAAAACATAGTATTTTGCCTGAACAAAATTGGTGGATATATATACACACACACATACATACACTAAAATGTAAATTGTTTTGGGTGGTGAAGCTGTATATTATAAATATTATTTTTTTTAACTTTTGTTCCTCTGTTTTTATACATATCCCCACTCCTCCACCACCCCTCTACTAGCATATATACTGGCCTTGGAATAAGAACACAAACCAAAACTACTTTTAAGAAAAAGAAGATCTAAGAAGACATTCGTGAGAATTATTCCACATTATTGGTTCTTTTATTAGTGACCCTGAGAGTTATAACTAGGGAGGTCCTAAAATACTGATGGTAGCTGGCCTTGTTATTTATTTAGATGGCTGAAAAATGCAGGAAGAATAAGAGAATGTTGCCTGAGTTTGATCATGAAAGGGCCCATGAGAGAAGACTGAATGATTCACTTGTTCTGGTTTCCAGCCCTGTGAGCTGCCGTAAGGAGGCTCTATGACTAATGGCAGTAGTGGCCAGCTACAGAAAATGTGGAGAATTAGGAAATTGTGAATGCCACCTACAGTGTTTTTATTGTTGATGTTTATCATTTGCCCTTTTTCAGTAAAGCCATCACCTGGTCTTGGTCCCGTTGAACTGGCAGCTGTCATTGCTGTACCAGTCTGCTTCGTCTGCATCTCACTCATGTTGATGGTCTATATCTGCCATAACCGAACTGTCATTCACCACCGAGTGCCAAATGAAGAGGACCCTTCATTAGATCGCCCTTTTATTTCAGAGGGTACTACGTTAAAAGATTTAATTTATGATATGACAACATCGGGGTCTGGATCAGGTAATGTTTTTTGTTTTTCCTTTTTCCTGAAACACCGTGAGAAAAATTAACTGTTATTATTTAATTAATTGGTTAAGCCACTTGGCTTAGTTTGTTAAAACTTGGAATAGAGTGAATACTGTTCTAGCTTTGAGCCCCATAAAAGTCTTTAAGCTTGGTCTGTATCTAACTGTGACTAGTTTAGTATAGACAGATTAGAATTTACATTTACTGAAATAAGTCAGTATGTCAGCTTCATGTTTGTGTAAATTTCAAAGCATTCTCGCTCATGACTCCATGAGGTAGTAAGAATAAGGAGAATTATTCTCATATAGATGAGGCTGAAATTCAAAGATGTTCAAATGATATGTAACTACTCATTCTATTAGGACTGTTTAACAGCTTTATTTTTGTTTTTGAAGGGAGGCATGACAGAAAATGTGTTTCGAATTATGAAGGTTATCTGTTTTTTTTAACATAGGACACTGGTTTCTTTCACTGAGGCCTAATATTTTATTAAAATTATGAATTTTTTGTCATTTTCTTACTTCAGAAAAGTCTAACCACCTTGTTATTTAATATGACTTTATGGATCCATGACCCCTGTGATATTTGCTTTTCTCAGTTCTGGTGATTTTTTGGAATCAGAAGTAGACTAGGGAATTGGAAGAATTATCCCCAGAAGTGAGTTTTGAAATAGCAGTGCTTTATGTTTAAACCAAAGGGGATTTATTTTTTATTTTTTCTTACTCTGGAAGGATACTAAGAGGGGAAGACCCCTATCCTCCACAGTATTTTATTTGACAGTAGGTAGGAACCAAGAGATCAAGATTCCAGTGCAAGCTTTGTCACTGATTGGCTTGGTTAAATCATGTTTCCTCTTTGGGCAACAGATATTACTGATAATACTACTTAAAGTGGTTCGTTATGACTTTTAAATGAGATATGCTATCTAGTCTTTGAAAAATATAAATCAACTTCAAATAAGGCCATTTATGGATAAAATGAAGGTTTGAAAATATATAATGAAGGGGTAGAAGTGGGGGGGGAGAGAGTGTCAGTGGGGGGAAAATGAAGGACATCTGTAATACCTTAAACAACAAAGATACATTTATAAAAAGAAAATATATAATGAAAATTTCACTAATTTTATCATCAAATGACTAAAAGGAATGTTAAAGCAGAAATTGTGACTGGGGGAAAAATATGACTTTGAAGCACAAAATCACATGTGATGATAAAGTTCATATAATGACAAATGCTTGTTTATTTTAAGGAAATTAAATATGTTGATGTATATGCATATCTGTTTGTTTATTTAAGAACGAAGAAACTGATTTTATTACCTGAATTCCTCAGTAGAATTTGGCTATATATATTCAGTATGTGAGTTCCGTCCATGACTTCTAGGACACATGAAGGCTTGCACTGGAACCCAGGTCTCTTAGGGCAGACTTTAGGGACCCCTGAGGCCATTGTGAAGAAGGAGGCAATGAGAGATTGGATTAAGGTGGAGCAGTGTTAGTACTGAAGATGGGACCATCTTTGGGCAGGAGTGGAGATTGTTTTAGGGCTTTCCTGGGATTTCCCATTGATTCTGACTTAGTCCAAAGAGTTCCCAAAGAAGATCTGGCTTGTTCTAGAAATAATTCTGGACCAAAATACTATGATAAGCAAGGACCAAAAGTCACAGGAAATCAGGGTAGCTATAGATCATTTGGAATTAATCCCTTGGACCTGTTCTCTTACTGCCAAATTTACACCCAGGGAAATCAAAGCAGCTCATGCTACTTGGCACAGTGGTATGTGTCAGGCCTCCGGGCAACGAGCCTACCTAAAGGATCAAAAGGAGCTGCAGTCTGGATGACATTTGATTTTCCCCATAAGAATACATTTATTTACCTTAAAGATACAGACATGAAGTAAAGAATTGAATTATTCTTTTTTCCATTTTATCTATATTTCTAGATCCATCACAGGTCCCAGCTCTGTTGCTGAAAGTTTCTCTCTCCTTTTTACCTTACCCTGCCAAAACGTGTTTACATTGTTTGCTAGCTCTGTGGTTTGGAGCAGTTAGTTGGTATCTCATGTATGAGTTATTTCATCTTTAAAATGAAAGCAATTGAATTGCTGTGAGGTTCAAATGAGACAAATATGTTTGTGTGAAAGCATGTGGTAAATGGTAAAGCTATGTCCAAATGACAGATGTTACTCTTATTGAAAAGATATTTGGAAGAAAAATCTGACATACAGTATCCATTTCCTGCATTGTACAGAAAAGCTTAGTTTAAGACCTACTTTCCCTATCATAGTTCATTGGGTGCTGAATGGCCTCCAGGTTAATCCACACAGAAACTATCATCTGTTGAATGATAGCCATCTCTTTCCCTTCTATTCATTATAAAGCCTTAATGCCTGCTACCTCATACATGGGAATCATGCTTGTAAGTTAATAAAATGGGTATACATAATACCCTTTTTAGCCCTGGCCAGTTTGGCTCAGCGGTTAGAGCGTTGGCCCATGGACCAGAGAGTCCCGGGTTCGGTTCCCACTAAGGGCACGTACCTCGGTTGCAGTTTGTCCCTGGCCCCGGTTGGGGTTGTGTGGATGGCAACCACTTGATGTGTCTCTCTCACATTGATGTTTCTCTCTCTTTCTCCCTCTCTTCTTCCTGCTCTATCTGAAGATACATGCAAAAATGTCCTTGGGTGAGGATTAAAAATAAAATACCCTTTTTAGTTCTTTCACTTATTAAGGAAAAGGTAACACTAAACATCATATATTAACGAATTTATATATCTCAGTATCATGACCATAATTGAGGAAAGGCCCCATTTCTATTTCTCAAAGACTGCTTTTAACTTGGGAACTGCAGGGGAGACCGTGGAGAGCTGGGTTCTGCAGTTGTAACCTTAAAGCTAACCTACTCCCAGTTGCATTAACTTGAATCTCAGGTTGTGCATGTGCCCATATTTAAGCTGTCATTGGATCGATCGTAAAGTGTGTGTGAGCATGCTTGTGTATGTGAGCATGCTTATGTGTACCAGTGTTTGAAAGGGAGTGAATCTCATGCCAGTGTTTCTTATGTTTTGTTCATGCTTATGACCCCTTATAATGTATCTGTGCTACTCAGGTCTTATTTCTGTTCACTAATGTGAAGCCTTTTCCCTATTGCAGTTTACTCTTAAGACACAGAAGAGTAAAGCAGAGTATATGGAAATCTAAATTAGACTTGTTTACTTTTGTTTTTAGAAGAAAGTTATTACTTTTTTAAAATGCTCAGGTATTCATGTGGGTCATAGTAACTAAATATAAATAATATGATGAATCTAGATGTGGTTTTTAATTTTAGGTCTGCATCTAGAATCCAGGGGTGATGGGATGACAGCAACTTTTTCTTGTCCCATTAGCCTATCTTGACCATACCATTTATATGAGTTCTGACTTGTCAGGCATTTAAGTGAACCGGAATAGTTCCAAATATAGTGTTACTTAAATATTGTAGGTAGGTAGTAAATCCTTTTCTATAAGTGGAATATGTGTGGTAATATTTCAAAATACATGTTTTAGAGTAAGGCAAGTTCATTTGGTGAAAAAAATTACCAAAGTAAATTACTAGACACTTGTTTAAGATACTAGTGTTGTGTAGACAGCCAGTTCCTAGCAAGCAAATTGCCTGTCTTAAAATGATTTCTGTGATAATTTTTACCGATTTACTAAAAGTTAGACCAGAATTTACTTTTATGTGTCTTGTATTCACATACTTTTCTCCTCCCACAATGAAAACTGTTACCAGATTCTTTCTGAAATCATATATTTTTTTTTTTTTTTATCCTCACCCGAGGACATTTTTCCATTTTTTTGTTCAGATAGAGCGGGAGGGAGAGAGAGGAAGAGAGAGAGAGAAACATCGATGTGAAGGGACACATCGAGTGGCTGCCACCCGCACGACCAACCAGGGCCGGGGACAAACTGCAACCGAGGTACGTGCCCTTAGCGGGAACCGAACCCGGGTCTCTCTGTACCGCAGGCCGACACTCCAACCGCTGAGCCAAACCGGCCAGGGCTGAAATCATATTTTTAAATTATTTCTCCCCATACATGTCTCTCTTCAGAAATCTATAATAGTTCTTTGCTTATGCACAGCTCTCTCTGGTCACGTTGAGCTTGGCATCTAGTACTCGTCATATACTGGTGACAGCTTACCTTCTCTTCCACTGCTTTAACACATGCATCTCCTTTCTGTTTAAGCTAGTTCCCTAACCATGTGTCATTCATTTCCTCCTCCTACCTCTGCTTGCATATGCCTCTTACCTGAATACCTTACCTCTTTTCTCCTTTGGTCCAGTCCCTCTGTAAATGCCAGTCTAAATTCAACTTAATTTACAAAGCCTACCTTGACACTTTAGGCAGGAGTTTCTGGATTCTTTTATTGTACTTATTAATTGCCTTTTATCATGAATTATTGTGTTTGCAAATGTGGTCTTTATCTCATTGAGATTGTAAGTTCATTAGAAGTAGAGCTTAAAAGAGTTACTCCTTTCCTTTTGTGGTGTTGGAAACCCATACTATTGTTGATTGTTTGTACTGAATACTATTTATTTTTATCTTCAGGTTTACCATTGCTTGTTCAGAGAACAATTGCAAGAACTATTGTGTTACAAGAAAGTATTGGCAAAGGTCGATTTGGAGAAGTTTGGCGAGGAAAGTGGAGAGGAGAAGAAGTTGCTGTTAAAATATTCTCCTCTAGAGAAGAACGTTCATGGTTCCGTGAAGCAGAGATTTATCAAACTGTAATGTTGCGTCATGAAAACATCTTGGGATTTATAGCAGCAGACAATAAAGGTCAGTAACATTTTCTCCTTTGAGTGTAACAAAATCTATTTAATTAAGCCCTTTTACCGATATGGCTACTAAACATTGTCAAATTTAATGAGAAAAATAGATGTGTATCAAATAGTAATTGCTCCCTTAAAGAACTTACCCACAGTTTTTAAAAAATTTTTTTTTCCTTTATTGATTTTTAGAGAGAGAGGAAGTGAGAGGGAGAGAGAGATAGAAATGTCCATGAGAGAGCATCGACTGGCCGCCTCCTGCATGTCCCGCACTGGGGATCGGGCCCACCACCAGAGCATGTGTCCTGACTGGGAATCGAACTGGCGACCTCTTGGTGCATGGGTTGATGTTCAACCACTGAGCCATACTGGCCGGACGAACTTACCCACATTTCTAGTTTCAAACTCTCTTGTGGTGGTGACTTTCAAATCTGCATTTTGGGCTCAAACCTCACTCAAGCCCAGTATGTTTTAGGCATGTTCCAAGTCACAAACATTGGCACAAAACGCTCCTGCTGCTGTGCCCTGAACTTTCTCTTTGCAATTGCTCAAGCAGCAACCAAGCTAGTGCTGTCATCTGGTGGTCACCATGGGAACTGACTCACCTTGCTGGCTCTTCCCTTGCCCCCCCTCTACCCCAGTTCCCTTCTCCTCTATCTTCATCTTCCTGATTTAGTTCATTCTTTCCAGACACCCCTTTATATATGCACATCCTCTTACATATCCTTCTTCCTTCTGCTCTTGTTGTCAATTTCCTCAGAAAAATCTTTCTGTCTTCCTTCTGCTTGTGTTCCTATTTCTTGTACTTGTGAGCCTTTCAGAATTCAGTCATGGTTAATAAGCAGGCAGATAAAACTAGTGATGCATCTGTATAAAGCAGTGGTTCTCAGCCTGTGGGTTGTGACCCCTTTGGGGGTTGAATGACCCTTTCACAGGGGTCACCTAAGACATAACAGTAGCAAAATTACAGTTATGAAGTAGCAACGAAAACAATTTTATGGTTGGGGGTCACCACAACATGAGGAACTGTAAGGGTCGTGGCATTAGGAAGGTTGAGAACCACAAAGGGAAAGAAAACGTACTAGTTTGAACAGAATCAGTTTACAAAGGACAGGTTTATAAATAACTAGTGTCATGAATCTCTAAATCCTTTTGAAAATACTCAGACATCCCCTCCAGAATCTTCTGAATACATTTTTCTTAATATCTTCTAATTAGAGTCGCTTTCCTTCAGATAATAAGCTTCAAAATACAGAGGTTGTATTATGTCAATTTGGGTTTTGTCTTTTGTTTTAAAACTAATGAAGAAATGGTACATTTTAATGTTCCATGCATTGTACTAAATGCTTTAAAAAAAACTGTTATCCTATTTTAAAATCTTCTTAATAGTCTTGCAAAGTAAAGTATTCTTGTGTAAAAGGAGACACCGAGGCTCAGTGGTTAAAAACGAATCTGAGGTCACTTAATAACAGCCCGTGGATTTTAACTCAGGTTACAGTGACTTCAGGTGTGTATCTTCTACTGAATCGTACTGCCTCCTAGTATTGTAATACTTCCCCCCCACACACACACAATTTCATGCAATGTGGGTTTTCTTATATTTCTAGCTGCTTCTTGGATAAATAGGCTTTTGTGGACCAGCCTAGCCAGAACTTTTACCTTGATTCCCATGGGAAAACTGTGCAAATTCATGTATCAGCTTACAAATGAACTTTTGGCACATACATTCCTAGTTCTTGAGGTTCAGAATCACCTTGTGTGTGTAAAACTGGGTTCAGTCCCAGCTTTTTCTCCTCCTGACATTTCAGTTCCTGTCTCAGCTTCCCCACGTGTCAGCGATAGTACTATTTTTATGAAACCTTGGAGTCGTATCATCTCGTCTGGCTTCTTTGTGAGCTATATTCAGAGTCTGTCATTAAAGATTGCATTTCTTCATTTAACCTCACTTTGAGTTTTATTCCGTACCATTCCATTCCCACTTTGGCCACACTGGGGTCCTGTTACTTCTCATTTCCCTGCCTCCCTTCTTCCAGAAACAACCATGGAGCACCTAACCTGAACCTGGCATTTTTCTAGGCACTGAAGAGTTCCCAGCTCTGCCACTGTCTGTGTAGACTCAAGATTACTGTCTTTGAACTATGATTCCTTGTCTCTTAAGGGGGATTACTTATCCAGCCTTATCTCAAAAATGAGGGCTTACTCTGAGGATCTAAAGGATACATATGTAAAAGTATAAGACAAACTGAATACATGAAAATATGAAGGAAATATTTACAAACTTAAAGTACCATCATGTTGCAATTGTGGGATTTGGGATAGAGAGTAAAGTGATAACTTTTGAACAAATACATTGTAAATGTTCTACAGCCCATTGAAATATTGTTGTTGTACTTCGCAGACAATGGTACATGGACTCAGCTCTGGTTGGTGTCAGATTATCATGAGCATGGATCCCTTTTTGATTATTTGAACAGATACACAGTTACTGTGGAAGGAATGATAAAACTCGCTCTGTCCACAGCAAGTGGACTTGCCCATCTTCATATGGAGATTGTTGGTACCCAAGGTAACCTGAAGCAAGCCTGTTATTTAAGCTTTAAATTCCCATGGATCTAGTGTCTAGAACATTTTTGCAAGAAGTCAATCTAATTGGAGATGTTATCTTTGTTGAAAATCTCAAATGGAGTTAGGAATCTGGAAATTTGTTTAGAGATTCTGTAGTCCTTATAACATACTGATATTTTTGTGAGTTCTTAATACTAACATTCAGTTTCCTACTTGTGATTTTTGAAGATCTTGATTTTAGAATTCAAGTCTAAGAGATGTATTTTTTATGTGTGTATCAAAAGAAAGGTGAAAATGCTTTGTAAATATCAACACACTATATAAATGTTATCTTGCCATCTAACAAAACTGTATTTGGCTTTGAAATAAGGGGACTGCATGAGACCCTTTTACAGTTGAAAAATTAAATACTAAGCTTTAGTTATGAAATTTTTATGCTTTGATTTTTGTGCTGTGTAGGCTGTCAGACACCAACACATCTCCATACTCTATTTATCATTCACTGCTACCTGATTCACTTGAGATTGTTAAGTAATGACCCAGGTATTGTGGGTGATGTGGGCTAAAGTGCTTTACACTGGACGGGGCAGAGACTTTTGAGTCTAAAGGTAAGAATTGTGATTGGCATTACCTTATAAGCAGTTACGTTTAATTTTTTTTCTTTAGGAAAACCAGCCATTGCTCACAGAGATTTGAAATCAAAAAATATCTTGGTGAAAAAGAATGGAACGTGCTGTATTGCGGACTTGGGACTGGCAGTAAGACATGATTCTGCCACAGATACAATTGATATTGCCCCAAACCATAGAGTGGGGACAAAAAGGTACACTTGTGAATAAACAGTATTTAATATGTTCTGAAAACAATTTCTTTTTCTTTTCTTTCTCATCTGTATGTACATATCCTCTCTGAAACTCAGACTTTGTTAGATTGGCCACAGGTAGAAGATCTTATGGTTTTGCCTGCTCTGAAACCAAGGTTACTTGGCTTAAAAAGATGCCTGTTGATGAAAGATAGTCCTTCTAGAAGATATTTATCATTAGTTATGTTAATTATAATAGCAATAGGAGCTAACATTTTTAGGGTACCTGCTGTATGCCAATCTTTTTTTTTTTATCCTCACCCGAGGACATTTTTCCATTTTTTGTTCAGATAGAGTGGGAGAGAGAGAGAGAAACATCGATGTGAAAGGAACACATTGAGTGGCTGCCACCCGCATGACCAACCAGGGCCGGGGACAAACTGTAACCGAGGTACGTGCCCTTAGCGGGAACTGAAACTCTGGTCTCTCTGGGCCACAGGCCGATGCTCTAACCGCTGAGCCAAACTGGCCAGGGCTGTGTGCCAATCATTTTAATGAGTCTTTTTTACATATTTTCTCATTTGATGCCCTCCTCAAATGCTATATTATAGATGTCCCAACTATTTTCAGTTCCTGAAAACATGCCTTCTTTCTTCCTTAGAACTTTTGCATGTGCTCTATCCCAGAGCCTACTTACCCCTACTGCTTTCCTAACTTGTACTCACCCTTTCTTCCTCATAGGAAGCCTTTTCTGGACTGTTAGGTGTTCTTTCCAGGAGCTCTCATAGCATGCTGAAATTGGACCATTGACATACTTAACACATTATGGTGTAACTGTCCATTTATTTGTCTGTATATTCCAAAGGATTATGGGCTGCTTGAAAGCAGTCTGTATTCCCAGCATTCATCACAGTTCCTAATACATAGTAGGTCCTCAGTAAATATTTGTTGAATCCACAAGTCCTCAAAAGAATCTAACTAGGTAGGCGTTATTATTCTCAGTTCACAGATGAGAAATGTACCTCATGAAGATTACTTAATGTGGCCAACCTTTCATATGGATGGTAAGCTGAAGAGCCAAGATTTGAACCTGTGAACACAAGCTTGCTCTGTATCACAGCATGTTGTCACAATATATCTTCAGACTACCACCTTGGCCTTGGATAGAGCCAAGCTACATTCTATCTAAGTTGTGTTTATGATTTCTGGATTCAACAGGGACTCTCAGAACTTTCAACTCTGGTTCCAGGACAGTGGTTGCTGTAGGTCTTTGTAGTTCCTGATTCGTAACCTTAGTAGGGTTGTTGAAACTTTGAGATTCCAATGTGGCATCAATAAGAGGACTGGCATTCATTTTTATCTGTTACTTTCTCCCCTGGAGTATGTTCCATCCTATTTTAGTGAGGAGACTTCTAGATTAAAACATATAGCCCCTGCAAAGTACATGACAAATGTGGTATGCTTTAGAACATTTGTTAACAGCCACGGTTACCTGTACCTGGAAACTAAGATCATAAGACAGACAGCAGTTAGGATTTAGTTGACATCATTAATTTGGAAAACAGTATAGTTATATAATACTTTTCTTGAGTCAAATATTATCTCAGTTATATGATATTATATCTCTATGAATAGAGAGGTGTCAGAAAGCATTTACACTGTGTGGTAGTAATGGAATGATTTTTTACTTTTTTTTAATTTTCAGGGGTAAAAGAAAATTTACAAAACAGGCCAAGAGTAATATGGCCACTATTCAATTAAATAAAATGCTGACTTCTTTTTTAGGTACATGGCCCCTGAAGTTCTAGATGATTCTATAAATATGAAACACTTTGAATCCTTCAAGCGTGCCGACATCTATGCAATGGGTTTAGTATTCTGGGAAATAGCTCGAAGATGTTCCATTGGTGGTAAGTTCTCCTCGTTTCCTCAACAGTTTGTTTTGAACAGAAGTTGTTTAAGAATTGCCTTCTCTTTTATTGAATGAAATTATACACATCAGCAGTTTGAAATTATGCTCACCAGGTGATCAGGGGACTGCCAAGAAAATAAAGGAGCTAAAACCTGTAGTGAGAGGATAACAACGTGACATGCTTTATTTAATGTACAGCTTTTTCCTAGTATATTCTTTTTCTGTTTCCGCTTGAGTGTTGGAAAGCATCACTAACCCTTTCTTGTCTTGAAATAGAGGTGTGTAGAATGGGGCCACCCAGTAAGCTGTTTCTAGCATGCATCTGGGTCAAACTGATTCCCCCTGAGACTGCGGTTGTTTTCTCCAACTTGGAAATTAGATATACAATTACATAGCCATTACATTACTTTTTAAAGTAAGTGTGTTTTAACTTTTTTTAGATAGAGTGGGAGGGAGGGGGAGAGAGAAAGAAAGAGAGAGAGAAACAAATAAACATAGATGTGAGAGAGAGACATTGATTGGTTGCCTCCCACACAACCCCGGCCAGGGCCTGGGATTGAACCTGCAACCAAGGTACATGCCCTTGATCAGGAATTGAACCTGCGACTCTTCGGTCCATGGGCCGATGCTCTAACTTTGGAGCCAAATTGGCCAGGGCTGTTTTAACTTTTAAATTTAGTTTTAGATTGAGCACTTTTTTTTTTCTTTCTTATTTTTAACGCGCGAGATAGGGAGAGGGGGAGAGAGATAGAAACATTGAAGAGAGAGAACATCAATTGGCTGCCTCCTGCATTCCCCCTACTGGGGATCGGGACCACAACCTGGGCATGTGTCTTGACTGAAAATCAAACTGGTGACCTCTTGGTGCATGGGTTGACACTCAACCACTGAACCACACCAGCTGGGCAGATTGAGTACCTTTGATGTTAACCTCCAGAAAGGCTCTTACCTGGAGCCTAAGCTTGGCTGAGACTAGGGTATCAGGTTTAGGCAGTGATGTGTAGAGTGTGTCTCTACATTGTAGCAAAGAGGACCTGTAAATGGACAGATGCAAGTAGAGGAAGGGATTTGCACCTGAGCCTCATCTTGTAGGCTTCACATCTCTGACATAGAAGGTATGGCCCCATACCACGATACCACGTGAGAGGCTCTGCACTCACAGAATGAACACTCATTTCTTGCACACTAGAGTTCTAGGGGTCGATCTGGTCCTCACAGTTCATAGTTCATCTCCAATCAAATGGCCTTTTTGATCCCACAGTAATACTTAGTTTCAAGGTGTGGGCCCAGTACCAACTTGAGTTGTTGATACAGGTGTGGATGAGATAGAGCAAACTGTGAGCCCCGTTCCACTTACCTAGTTTAATAAAGGGACCCTGTAATAACACACACAGGTGGTCCTTTCCTGTCTGGTCAGAAAATGGTCTGGCATTATCTGAGTAAATTCTTTAAAGTAGATTATTTATTTATTTATTTTTATGTTTACCAATATAGGAATTCATGAAGATTACCAGCTGCCTTATTATGATCTTGTACCTTCTGATCCATCAGTTGAAGAAATGAGAAAAGTTGTTTGTGAACAGAAGTTGAGGCCAAATATTCCAAACAGATGGCAGAGCTGTGAAGTGAGTATTTCTTTTAGATATTATGCAGTTTTCCAAACTGCTTCTGCTTATTTAATAAGTGGAAATTTGCTACTTTCCTTTAAGGAAAAGACACGAGAATTCTCTTTTTTTTTCTTTTTCAGGGCAATTAAACTAACGAGTAAAACCAGAATAATCTTTTTCATGTTCATTTTTTAAGCACATTGAAAGAGTCATGTAGTATTGGCTGTGGCCATCAGAACAATGTTTAGATCTGCCAGAAACCAAAGCACCTGCATTTTATTTGTTTGTTTGTTTGTTTGTTTGTTTTGGTACGTGCCCCTAGCGGGAACCGAACCCGGACTCTCTGGTCCGCAGGTCGACGCTCCAACCACTGAGCCAAACTGGCCAGGGCAGCACCTGCATTTTAAATGAATGCTTCCCTTCAATCAGGGCAGCCCAGAGTAGTGGGATGAATGTTGACTGCAATTGGGAGACCTCTATTCTGTATCTTGTTTGGATACCATTTCAGAGTCACACTGGGCAATGAGGAACTTGGGTAAGATGATTATGAAGGTGGTTCAGATGATTTTGTATCTTATTCATCTGATTGCCCATATGATCATTCACTAGGAATTTGATGGAAATGCTTCCCGGCAGTGTCTAAGCTTCTCAACCCCAGCTCTTACAACAAGTTTTAGAAATCTTTTTGCAGTTGTAAATTTAAAGAATTCCTAAGACAAATTTTATGTAATCTATCTTTAATTGCTGGCTCTTACTAATTATAATGTAGATGAGGCAGAGCATTTCCCTCTAGACTGGGAGTTTTGTAGTTTAGGAGAATTAAAAGCTGGCCACTAATTAGTTGATTTTACATCTCAAAATAATGTAGGACTCAGTATATATAATCTTTGACATCAACAGAGATCCTCACTACCTCCAACAAGATCATGTGCTTAGGCCCAGATACAATACATCTCATGTTGACAAATAAAATTGGGCTAGATTTTGTCTTTTAAAAATTTCGATCTTTGCTTGCAGGGGGGTGGAGGTGGAAGAGGGTCTAGGGGGCATAAATGGTGATGAAAAACTTTTTGATCTTAATATAAGATCAAAATATAAGAGTACAAACTTGAGTATTTGTGCACTCACTCAATAATTGGAGCAATTTGCCTGGCCGGTGTGGCTCAGTGATTGAGCAACGACCCATGCACTAAGAGGTCGCAGGTTCGATTCCCGGTCAGGGCACACGCCCAGGTTGTGGGCCTGATCCCCAGTGAGGGGCATGCAGGAAGGCGGCCAGTCGATGTTCTCTCTCATCAATTCTATCTCTCCCTCTCCTTTCTTCTCTCTCTAAAATCAATAAAGAAAAAACTTTTCAAACAATAATTAGAGCAATTACTCTTGAACAGATAGATGGCTTTTATGCATTAAGAAAAGTTAGCAGGTAACGTTAAGATCATACATGAACTTGCAGTGACTATCACATCATGCTGAATTAATGCCGTCATTTTTGTTTTGTCTAGTTAGTTTGCTAGGTACTTAGCACTAATTCAATTTTTCACTTTTCTAGCGTTTTGTAAATTTCTCTATAGTTGAAACACTTTTTTTTTTTTTTTTTTTTTTTTAAGATATGAAACTGACTAAAGTGCCTTTCAGAACCTTCTGACCTTTTCCAGTCTGGACTGTTGCCCTCTAGCCCTGCTGTACAGCTTCATCCTGGGACACCCCTCACTTTTCATCCTGGGATTCCCTTTGCCTCTTGTGGTGAATCCTCCTTCTTGGATCTCACATCTTTCTATTCCTTGGTTTGCTCATTCTTCCCCTCCTTCAGGTCCTTGCTTAGATGTTACCTTGTCAATGAGACGTTACCTCTCCATCTATTTAAAATAGCATCCTCCTTGCCTAACATATTTTATCTCCTTCCCTAAATGATGTTTCTTCTTAGCACTTACCACTGGCAGTCCATGTATTTTGCTACCTATTAATTTTATGCTTTAGTCCTGTAGATTTTAAGCTTTATGAGGGCAGGGATTTTGTCTGTGTCCACTGTTGTATCCCCTGCACCAACGATGGTATCTGGTAAATGGTAGACACTCAATAAATAATTGTTGAATGAATATATGTCTGTGATAGGCACTTGGTCCTTTTAAATCTGGAAACAGACATTGACTTTTAGGAAATGTTTTGGAAATATTTTTTTGATTTGTTCTCTTTCAGGTTCCTCTCTTTTCTTTCTTCAACTCTGATTATGAATGTTAGACTTCCTTCCAATTTGCTTATGTTTTCCCTCCTGTTATCCATCTCTGTCTTTTTTCTCCTCTTTCTGGGAGGTTGATCAGCTGTTATCTTTTTTAAAAAAAATCAAGTTTATCTTACACCTTTTTTGTGAAGTTTTTCCAAAGCAGAACAAGAAACAAAAATCTGTCAATGATAAATCCAGTACCATATTTTTTTGGATCTCTTTGAGGATGTTAATGATAGATTGTTGATATTTTTTTTTCCATGTACAGCTTCTGTTTTCTCCATGCTGCTTTTTCTGTTTGTGTCAGCTGCATTTTAGATCCTTTTCTCAGATGTTTGATCAAACTCATACTCTCTTTAAGAGCAGGGCTCTGAAAGCTGATAGGAAGCTTTGGGCACAGGAATGGAGCTTTTTGACTGATCGATCGTTAAGGGTCTGACAGGGTTGCTTCCTTGAGGAACCACTCGTGTCTGTCCCTTTAGGCCTCCTCTTGGGCTGCTCACGCCCCAGGAAACTCTCCCAGTCTGTGGCCTGGAGGAGCATGTACATGTTGCTGCCTGTGTTGGGGGAGAAAGCCTGTGCTCTTAGCATTTAGTTTGTTGTCAGTATGTAACTTTCTCGTCTGTTTCCCAAGTCAGAAATTTCTGTTTTACCTTCTCGGGTGCAAACCTCCAGTCTATTCCTGGGGTGAGATAGTGGGAGGGACAGGTATCTGGGGTTCCAGCTCTTTTGACTAATGCTTCTATTTTTCACCCGAACCTAGAGGTACTTGACATAGTTAATTCCTCAGTTTAAGGTGGGGTGTCAGTGTGAGTCAAGTTACCTCTTTGCCTTGCATAGCTCTGGTTTAGGATTCAGCTTTTTCAGGTCTGCTGAGTGAGTCATCCATCCCGTCTCTCTCCCTCTGCTTTCCAGCTGTTGGCACCAGGACCTTATCGATGGGAATTTAGGTTATTTCTATTCATGTGGTATGACAAATAATGCTCAAACACAAAAACTTGTACACACCTCATTTAGAAAGAAAACTTACAGGTAAAGATTCTTATCCAAATCAATGGAAAGTGCTGCATTCATTAATTATTTTTCTTGTATTTTCTTGTAGGCCTTGAGAGTAATGGCTAAAATTATGAGAGAATGTTGGTATGCCAATGGAGCAGCTAGGCTTACAGCTCTGCGGATAAAGAAAACTTTGTCACAACTCAGTCAACAGGAAGGCATCAAAATGTAATTCTGCGGCTTTGCCTGAACTCTGCTTTTCTTCAGATCTGCTCCTGGGTTTTCATTTGGGAGGTCAATTGTTCTACCTCACTGAGAGGGAACAGAAGGATATTGCTTCCTTTTGCAACAATGTAATAAGGTCAATTTAAAACTTCCCAGGATTTCTTTGGACCCAGGGAACAGCCATGTGGGTCCTTTCTGTGCACTATGAACTCTTTTTTCCCAGGACAGTTACAAAATGTTGTGTAGTCTACCTTTATTTTTTATTAATACAAGGTTTGTGTGTGTGTGTGTGTGTGTGTGTGTGTGTGTGTGTGTGTGTTTAAAGATAATTGCTGGTCTTAATTTTAGGTAACTGCTGTGCTGAAGATCATCTTTAAGGGCAAAGGAGCTGGATTGCTGAGTTATACGAAGCATTTCTTATTTTTAAAGAAAATGATTTACTCCTGGTTAGTACATTCTCAGAGGATTCTGAACCACTAAAGAGTTTCCTTGATTCAGACTTTGAATGTACTGTTCTATAAATTTCAGGATCTTAAAACTAACACTTATAAAACTCTTAAATCTAAAAATGACCTCATATAGTAGTGAAGAACATAATTTATGCAATTTTATTTTGTATACTGTTATCGTTCTTTCACATATTCAGAATACTACATGCCTTCAAAATGGGATTGTACTACACCAGTAAGTGCCACTTCTGTGTCTTACTAATGGAAAGAGTAGAATTGCTTAAAGTCTGTGCGTGTTGAAACCTGTAGTGTTTCAATTCAGAACGTTTATTATCTGGGTAACCCAGACATTTTCTATTTTGTTTTTTTGAAGTGTTTTTGTGGTATGTCATTTGGTATTCCATTTTGAAAATGCCTTTCTTCTACCAGAATGTGCTTAAACCACTGAAGAAATGAGGTGGAATTAATTGGTAAATTGTTGTCATGGTCATGTTTGAATAGTATCACATCAAGTTTTTACATTTTAGTTGTGTCATCTAAGTATACTTTAAAAAACATTGAGTGGCACTCTAGATGCTTATAGGACATTAATTTAAAATTTGTAGCCTACAGACTCATTTTTCTAAAAGGGAAAATTTGTCTAGCTGCTTGTGGAAAGTTGTGTGGCATTCTGTAAGCCATTTTGTTCTTTATCTGATCAAAGACAGTGTTATTTTTTTAAGAAATGAATTATGTTTAAAGTTAGAATATGGTTAATGTTAAATGATAGGCCTTTTTCTAGGAAGGTAATGGTAGTTAATAATTTGATTAGATAACAGGTGTGCGAAAGCCTCACATTTGTTATGTAGGAGTTATTGTTCGGTGGATTTTCTGTCTGTAACAGGTTCGAGTTAGTGTGGTTTTGAGGTCTCACTACTTTTTGAGGAAGGCAGCTTTTAATTCAGTCTTTCCTTCTGTGTGCAGATATTTTGACTGCTTAATTTACATGGTTATGCAATAGATTCCGTACACTCTTGATATTTGGGAGAGTGGTAGCTAAAGCATTTTCTGAGTATAGGTTCTACATTTACAGATGTTTTTGGTCAGGTTAAATGTTTAAAATAAACCAGTCATGATCTCACATTAAGTTGAAACTATCTTAAAATAACTGGTTTTACTTCCAGTGCTAAAAGTCTTTGCAGGGCTTTTACAGTTTTCAAAGTTTTCTTTATCACTGTGATCTTTTCTGAGGGGGCAAAACTATCTTAGCTGTGAGGCAAGACACTGACTTTGTAGTGCTGTCAATTTCCAAATGAAAGGGTTAGAACAACCTTCACAGTATTTGGGTCAGTAAGAGGTGGTGGCCACTGAGCTAACTGAGCTGCATTCTGATAATGTCTTATCTCCTATACATAGAATACATTTGAAAGACTATTTGATCTTAAAACCAAAGTAATTTTAGCAAGATTGACATTACATAGGAATTTAGTGTCAGTTTCATGTGTTTAAAAACATGGGGAAAATGCGCTTAGAGGTTAATATTTTGACTCTAAATTTGCATTTTTTTCTGTAGTTACTGATTTTATCAAAGCAAATGTATGAGTTTGAGAAATTTGTTTTTATATTCATGTTCTATTTCCTGTTTAATAATCTCTAGCTCTGTGATTAGGAACTCTTTTTTTTCTTTCTTTTTTCTGCCATTTCTAATCCTACCAGATCTGCTTTATGAAATCCAGGGGACCAATGCATTTTATCACTAAAACTATTTTTATATAATTTTAAGAACATACCAAAAGTTCTTATCTGATTTAAAGTTGTGATATATTACTTCTCACTTTCATTTAAGGTAATCAATTTTTGCTGAACATACTCTATATTAAATTAAATATTGAGTTACAGTTATACTTTTCTTAAGTGGACAAAATGTACTTTTGATGAATCAGGGAATTTTTTAAAAGTTGGAATTTAGTTCTAAATTGGGTTTACATATTACTGCAGCTAGTTCCTTTTTTGGCTATTGACGGTTTGATAAACCTCAATTGGCTAATATTGAAAATTAAAGTAATTTAAAAGATGAAATAGATCAACCGCAGTTAAGTTTGACTAGTGTATTAATTTTGTCATTTTGAAACCCAGGCCTTTGTTTATACTGCTGTCTTCAGATGCTTATGTTCCAAGATTCAATGTTGCTAAAATATGCCTTCAGGCAAATTACCTGTCCACATCCATTTTGTCAATACTGGAGGAATGGAGGTGGGGGAGGTGTGACCTAGGGGGGCACAGACACCCCTGGTCCTTTCTTTTTAATAACTTCAGCTCTGTTTCTCCCAACCTGCCTTCCTGCTGATCCTGACTCAGAGACCAGAGCCTGCCAGCCTCCCCGCCCCCACAGCAGCCTTTCGACCGAAGAGCTGCCTTTGATATCTATAGCAAAATGGTTAATGGACGTCGTGGGGCATACTTTCATTTTCATTTCCTTGAATCATTCGTTGGATGTTGCTGGGAGGGGTCTTTAAGTTTGGAGATTGGGCAGATGATGGCCCTGCTGGCTGCCCTCCTTTGACTTCAGCCGTGGCCAAGCAGTGGCAGCTCTGGCAGTGGAGGAGGTACCAGTTGTGTCTCCTGTGGGACAGGGTGTGGCCCAGAGAGCTGAACCTGTAGTTCTGCTGTAATGATAGTGCTCAAGAAGTGCCTTGAGTCGGTGTGCAGTGCCATGGCCATTAAGAATTCCATATTTCAGTTCTTACTACAGAATGTAAGTGGTCACTTGGCCATTTTGCAGCTTATGCATGAGTTACCATTTTTTCCCCTACGTCTGAGAACTCACACACAGAATATTTGGTAAAACAAGAAGGCAAAGTGCTAATTAAAATGCACAACAAAATCAGTATCCCATTAGACATGTCATATCAAGAATTTATTTTTATCCTTGCACCGAAAGAGCAATTGTAACTCACCTATTTCTTTTGTTGACTGGGGCAGTGTTCTGGCTCCAGATAATGGAGATTCCAAATTATCGTTCTGTTAGAACTTGGCAAAAAATGCTAATTTAAATAGTTTTGAAATCCTTAAGGATAGATCTGAACATGTACTGCAGCTTCTTGTGTCTGCTTGGGAATGTTGGCATACCCATGGCCCCTGTCTAGGAATGCCGGACTTCTAGGACGGACATTCTGAGGATTGCCAGTACATTTAAATCTTCAGTCCCATTATACAATCTTATTTGTAATTGTAAACTTTATAAATGTGGTTAATACATTCAACCTGTTTCTTAAAGTTTAAAAAGAACTTCAGTGAATTTGTTTTTATTTTTTTAACAAGATTTGTGAATGAATACCATGATGTTTTGATATCCCTTTTTCACATTGTGCCAATGGAGTGGGGTGTTTGCTATTTCTTTATATGTCAAGGAGATGCTTCAAAATGTCAATTGCTTTAAACTTAAATTACCTCTCAAGAGACCAAGGTACACTTACCTCATTGTGTATATATGTTTAATATTTGTCAGAGCATTCTCCAGGTTTGCAGTTTTATTTCTATAAAGTATGAGTGTTATGTTGTTACATTACTCAAATGGTACTGTATTGTTTATATTTGTACCCCAAATAACACCATCTTTACTTTCTGTATTTTATTGTGCAAAATCCTTTTGGCTTTATCGGTGTAATCTCTGCCCTTTCAGATGTGTACAGAAAATGTCCATATGAATTTTCCTTTAAGTTGAATGATTTTGAGAAACTTGTAAAGAGGAGAGAAAAACAAAAACTGCAGTTCCTCATAAGTTTTTAAACGATGTATATTGTATTTGTAGTAATATTCTGAATGAACTGTAAATAGGAAGTAGAAGAGTGATACTTATGTCAAGTCCTAACACTACAGTAGAAAAATGGAAGCAATGCAAATAAATTACTTTTTTCCCCAAGTGCTAGTGGCATAATTTAAAATAAAGTACGTCTCTCAGAGTGAGCCATGCTGTTATGAGACTTTGGATTACTCCCCGGTACAAATTATAATATCGAAGCATGTTGGAGAAGTGCTCGCCTGCCCAAGGAGCATCTCTTGCTGGCTGCTTCCCATGCGCTGGGTACCAGTGGTCAGGATGACAAAGATATCCTGAAACTGGGTTTTTGGTGATGGATGCACAACTATCAATTTACTAAATCATTCATTGTACACATACAGTGGGTGAACTATATCGTGTGTAAATTAGATCTCAAGTCTGCTAGACACCTCACTTAGGCCGCTCCGCCCACCCAGCACATTTACTGCGCCAGTCACACTGAATCGCTCTCCTTCCTGTTCCCCGTGCACCCCTTGCCCTTTGCTCAGGCTCTGCTGGCTGCCAGACCACTCCTGCCCTCAGCCTTGCTAGTTGAATCAGATGGCACTTCTCCTCCGCTCACTCATCCTGCCTGTTGGTAGATCTCTGATCCCCTGCAGTGTTTCCAGGTGACTTTAGCACAGCCTCAAATTACACTTCATTCCCATTTTAACCCCCTTTGGGTTTTTAGGACCCTCTGTGTTCACCTTGAAGGAAGCGAGTGGTTTCACACCTTTCCAAATATCTCAAGTGAGAACTAAACAAAATAAGTTCCAAGACTGGATGCTAACCCTGCTGGATCCTTGTCTTCTAGGGACCGAGGCATGCCCGGGGTGCCCTGTCAGAGCACAGTGCCACGTCTGGGTGGAGTCTTCTGTTAGCTCTGAAGCCATGTCATAGTGTATGCATGCTGCCTTTTAAGCCCTGTGTGTATTCTGTGTCCTTGAATGGTTCTGGGGCCTGCCTCTGCAGCTGGAAATGAACACCCCAGAAGTAGGTACCACCTGTCATTTCTGTGAACCTCTTACCGAGCCCAAGGTTCGGCTCGGAGCAGGCCCCAGGAGTCTGTTGAAGGAAGCTCATCTGGTTGAAGGAATCCCAAATGAGCCGGAACTGATCTGACAGTGCAGGTGCGGAGCTGCGAGCTTTTCAAAGGCATTCCAGCCCCCGCTCCCCTTGGGTCTAAGATCTGTCTGGTCTCGACTCTGCCCCAGCAATCTCTGGCTTCCCTCTGGACACTCCTTTTTACTTTTCCATCTATTACTTGTACTGTCCTTTTATTAGTTTGTATTTTTCGCATAGCTGATGTTTTCTTTACAACAATGGGCTCGCCTTAGAACCCAGCACCTTTTAGTAAAATGGAAGTTTGGAGCTTGAGGTTGAAATTATTTAATGTGAAAGAACATTTTTACATTCTCAATACATACTTATTGATCATTGACTATGTAACAAAGCTTGTACATATCACTCACCTCTTCCTGTGTCTTGTACTGTCCTTCCCAATTAAACAACAACAACATTGAGAACTCTTATTGACAGCATTCCAGACCTCAGCCCAGTCTCTGCTGCGTGAAGCGGACGATTGTGGAAGTCTTTTCAGTTTTTCTACATTTGTAATTCTAGTATCGTTTTTTGCTTTGTGTTCCTTTTTAAAACTATGAAGTAAATGAAGTCTGCTTTGGTCTTACTGGGACATTGCTATTTTCACCCTTTACATTAAAAGGGAACAAGAGTTTGGTTTATTAGATTTCAGGGCCTGGGTTTTTAGGGAATGTGTCCTAAAGGTGCGTGTGATGCACAATAGTCTGGCAGGCTGGCTCACCAGATACAGCTTGGTTCCTCTTGGACTCCAGTGCCTTGGTGTATTTGAGTCATTCCAAAACATTCGTTGATTGCCCCGGCCATGCAGTCTAACCCAGAAACACATTCTTCTGTAGCTTCCAGGATAGAGGTTACACTGCCCATCGACCATCTTCAGAGACCAGGGATGTGTTCACTATTTCACAGGACAAGTTATTTGGGGAAAGCAGTACTTACTAAAAGGTTCTTTCTGGTGCCCTGCCCCTCCTGTTCACTGGCCCACACACTTCTGAGGCCTTACCCCGAGTCAGTTCTTTGCTGGGGTGAACAAGCTCCCTGTCTTCCACAGTCACTCGTGCTTTGCCGAGCATCTCTCCGAACCATCCTGATTTTGTGTGTGTATTGCTAGTAATCCCTGCTCCTGGTAGACGATAAACCAGACTGCAGGTCTGTGCAGGTCTCAAAAGGCAATATTATTTATAAAACAAAAAGCCTTCCTAACAGCCGATTCTCCAAGTAATCCTCAGTAGATGGCAGTGTTGATCTTCCATTGATTTTTTTTTTTTTTTGGTCTGGAGGAGGTGTTTTTTAATTTTTTTTAATCAGATTTTGAACAGGTGAGGTTTTTGCCTAACTTTAAATTGGGGGCTTCACAAAATGTAGTTCTTTTTACTCAATCAATCTTTGTTGTTCAGGGCCTTACCAAAAACCCTAAGTCCCCTCGGCAGGCTAATAAGTAAATTTTTAAACAGTATTCTAAAGTTTTTTTATTACAAAAGTCATGCCTTGGCTAGTGTGGCTCAGCTGGTTGAGCATCGCCCGGTTCACCAAAAGGTTGCCAGGTCTATCCTAGGTCAGGGCACATGCCCAGGTTGCGGGTTTGGTCCTCAGTCAGGGTGCGTACAGAGGAGACCGATCGATGTTTCTCACATCCATGTTTCTCTCCCTTCCCCTTTCTCCCTCTCTCTCAAATAATAAAAACATTTTTTAAATTTTAAATGTCAATGTAAATGCTTGTAAAAATAAAAAAAATATTTGGAAGTGTAAAAAGTGAATGAAAGTTTCTCAGCTGTTTTCCTATGCGTATAAAATATATAGAAAATACATATAAATGGGGTCATAGTACTCATATTGTTCTACAACTTACCTGGACTTATTTCCATCACATGCGTTCCTCCACATCGACGGATATGCTCTCCATTCGCACAGTTTATAATATCTACATTCTGTTCTGGAACCATAGCCAAGTCTTCTAGGTGAACTTCTGATACTTAAACCTAATCAAAATAGCATTTACCATATTGAGGTTATGTAAATAACCACTGCGGAACAAAATGTGGTCAGATCTGTAGAGAAATAAAGATAATCCCATGTGCTTAACCCCTACCTCTCAACTGTCAAGGTTCAACGCTGTCTCTTCATTTCATTTTTATTTTCCTCAGGTTCACTCGGCTATCACTGTTTTTTATTAGTTTGCTTTAATCCCAACTTTCTTGAAATCTCATTCTCAGATTCCTGTTGCTTTGCTCAAGTACATTTGTAAATTTGAGTGCATTGCTTTTCTTGCATGACTGAAAATATCTTCTGCTGCTGATTGCTGGTTTGGCTTGGAGTATAATTTAGGCTCAAGTTCTATTCCAGGTTAGATGGTTGGAATTTAAAGGCATGACTTAAAGTGTTTCTGCTGGGAAGTTGTGTGAGTCAGGTTCCCATTCCTTTGTAGCTGACCTATTTTCTTTCTGTCTCTCTCTCTCTCTCTCTCTCTGGAAGCTTTTTAAGACTCTCATTGTTCCTGGGGTTCTGAAATTTCTACGGTGTCTAGGTATGGATCTTGTTTTTATTTATCCTGCTTGGTACCTGGTGGGCTTGTCTGAAGATCTGTGTTTTCCCCTAGCTCGGAAGGAAAATGTTTCTATTATGTCTGATCCCCATCCCCTCTCTTTTTGTTCTTTCTCAAACTCCCAAATGAATGAGTGTTGACCTCTTGGGTATTTCTTATGTTTCTGGACTTTAATTTTTCACTGCTTTGTGCTTTTCCTGTGCTTTAGGAGATTCCATTGACTTACAGATAACCAGTCTGGTTTTAGTCTTGACCATTGTATTCTGCCTTCTGTTTGCTGATTTTTTTTTTTTTACAAACATTTTAAATGTCCAGAAATGAGTTTTTGTTCTATGACGGCTTCCTTTTTAAGGGCTACTAACTCTTTTTTTTTTTTTTTTTTATGTTTTTATTGATTTTTTTAGAGAGGGAAGGGAGAAAAAAAGAAAGAGAAACATTGATGTGAGAGAGAAACATCCATGGGCTGCCTCCTGCTGCACACCCCCTACTGGGGATCGAGCCTGCAACCCGGACATGCACCCTCACCAGGAACTGATCTGGGACCTCCCAGTCCGTGGGACGACACTCAAGCCACCCAGCCACACCAGCCAGGCAAGAGCAGCTAGCTCTTGTTTTAGAGTCTTAACACTCAAATCTCTCCAAAGATAGAGTTTTTTCCCTGAATATTACCCATTGTGTCTTGTTTTTCCAGGATGGCTCCTTTTGTTTATTCATCTCTGTTTAGCTCGTTCATGTTATTGGGTTTCCCCAAGTGTTTGGCCATCCATGGCCGTTCATCCGCTTTCATAAATGAAGGACTTGATTAATATGTCTCGATGGCTGGTACAGCCTGTTTCCTGGGGAGACCTCCCCTGGAAGAGGGCTCACAGCAGGTCCCTATAGGCTTGTTGGGCCATGTTGTCAGCAGGCTCACCTCTAGCTTGCAGCCTGAGGATGCCCACACTTGCTGATGCAGAAAAAGGCTTAAATAATGGACTAGAGCACTTACTATGCTGTCCTCCTGGGCACAGCCACCACACACACACACACACACACACACACACACACACACCCCATACATGTCTATCATGAATGTCTAGAGTAGTTTTAAGCTCTGTTCCACTTCTCTCTTGAGTTTCAACACCCATGTTAGGATCCCTTCCTAGGTAGATCACCCATATTTTTGGAGAATAATTTTGGGGTCCTAGGCAAAGTTGCTCCTTGTAGGTTGAGGCTATGTTAGGGGGTAGGGGTGGAGAAAGGTGGGAGCCCCTCTGGCCCAGCTGCTGTGAATATAGTTTTTTGCTCGGTTATCCTGATGACTGCCCTGTGGCTATTGTCGCTTTCTGCTTCTTGGCTCTGAGTTTGGGGTTTTTCTGGAGTTACCTTGAAAAGGGAAGTTCTTGGTGCTGGCATTTGGGGCTGTGGTTTATCTTTGGTCCCTCTCAATCTGATCTCGTCTACTTCCTAGTTTCCTGTATTT